AAGTTCAGGAAATAATAAGGACATTTTAAAAAGGAAATAATGTTCACATTTAGACGATTAAGCAAATTAAGAAATCATAACCCAAAAGTGTTTTTAAGTGATCTTATTGATTTCCTCCAAGCTGAATGTTTAGAAAATGAAATTTGAATTATAAGTCAGTTATAAACCTCTGTACTCAGGTATTGTGTGTGTGTGTGTGTGTGTGTGTGTGTGTGTGTGCGCTCAGTCACTCACACACAGTCCAATTCTTTGTGACTCGATGGACTATAGCCCACCAGACTCCTCTTTCCTACTCCAGGGGAATCTTCCCAACACAGGAATTGAACCCATGTCTCTTGCCTCTCCTGCATTGGCAGATGGATCCTTTACCAACTCAGATATTGTATGAGAAGTAAATAACGTTCAATAAAAAGGCATCAACACCAGTATAAGAATGTGAGCTTCCAGTTTTGCAGAGACACAAGTTCCAGTTGTTAACCAACTTCCGGCATTCAACTTCAGGCTAGCTAGTCCTGCCTTGAATACTAATCAAATGGAAATGACCTGAAGTTAACCCTCCACATGTAAATCCTTTCTTTAAAAAATTATAACAAGAAAACACATACTTCTAACAGACTTTTAAAAGTGCACAGAGCCCAGCACAAATTTAACAGAACTAATAGCTCTGATGCCTGGCAGCATTTTTTATCAGGATCATCAAAGACCTGAATTATTTTGGTTATTTTTCTGAACAGTAATCAGTGCCTGTGCATTGGCAGTATGGAATATCACACACACAAACAAGAAAGTCTGCAACAGGAATCGCAGACATAGAAAACAGACTCATGAACACAGTGAGGGAAGGAGTGAGATGAATTGAGAAAGTATGGAAACGTATACATCACCATATTTAAAACAGATAGCTAGTGGGAATTTGCTGTATGACACAGGAAGCCCCACCCAGTGTTCTGTGACCTAGAGGAGTAGGATGGGGTAGGATGGAAGGGGGGTTCTGGAAGGAGGGAGGGGACATATGTATACCTGTGGCTGATTTATGGTGATGTATGACAGAGGCTTCCCTCATAGCTCAGTTGGTAAAGAATCTGCCTCCAATGCAGGAGACCCCAGTTTGATTCCTGGGTCAGGAAGATCCCCTGGAGAAGGGATAGGCTACCCACTCCAGTATTCTTGGGCTTCCCTTGTCCGGCTCAGCTGGTAAAGAATCCACCCACAATGTGGGAGACCTGGGTTCAGTCCCTGGGTTGGGAAGATCCCCTAGAGAAAGAAATGGCTACCCACTCCAGTATTCTGGCCTGGAGAATTCCATGGACACAGTCCATGGGGTCGCAAAGAGTCGGACACGACTGAGTGACTTTCACTATGGCAGAGCCCAACACAATACTGTAAAGCAATTTTCCTCCAGTAAAATAAAATAATAAAGTCTGCAATGAGTGAAGGCATCACACTTGCTCTTACTTCTTTTAAGAAAAAAGGTAGCAAGAGTTACTTCCACATATGGTATTACAGAAGTTACTTTTTTGAATTCCAAACTTGAGATTTAATAGTGACCCAGTTGGCTCCTTCACGATAAAACTGAACGTGTCTAGAGCTACGCACCATAACAAAAAATAACACATTTGATTTCCTGCTCCACATTTATTGGGGCCAGAGAGGCCAGGTATTTTCCTTTCACATACTTGGAAAAATATAACACAACAACAATTTCTTAAATACAGAACAAAACTTTCTGGATCATGACTCAACAGAGATGTAATTAGCCTATAGATATCCACTGTAACAGTTTTATAAAATGTCATTCATCTAAGGCATTCTGAAACTCTTTCAAACCACGCATATACACACATTCTATATACATGAAGGTATCCATTTATGAACAGACAGTTTTTTAAAAGCACTGTGTAGGGAAGGCTAAAGTAATACACATTTAGATTCTGTATACTTTTTAAGAGACAATTTGGGGTTCTAAGAAACAGTAATTAACATTCAAACCAACATAGATTTTCAGACCTGAATAGGTAAGATTTCTGTGATGCCGGCTACAAGAAAATTTATACTGTAAATTGTTTGTTTTTTCAAAGGCCTCTTTCAAACTAGCGATTTCAAGTCAGGAGTAAACATTCATGGCATGAACAAATAGGATGCCTAAGGTTCTAAAATTTGCTTCCATATGGTTTTCTTCTTCACCTCCCTACGTCACCTGGATGCTGAGTTATTCCTTCCAGATGACAATGCAGTGAAGGATTTTTTAAATTTCTGTTTCAAATGGACTACACCAAACACAAAGAGATTTTTGCCACGACACCCAAATATCATTAAATAGACCCATATTTCTTCCTAGAACAGACAGAGAATCACTAGGAAAGGACAGAGCTGACAAACAGGAAGGAGACAAGGTTCAACCCTTTCTCCGGCCAGTTATACAAAATGAAAGCATCATTCTGTTATCAAAGTTGTCAGCTTTCCCCATTATAAACACAATCTCTAGACTGGCTTGCAGCTTGCCCTCTGATGCAACAGAGATATATTTGGGTTAACCAACCAACCCGTTCCTGTTGATTCCGACAGTCTCACACAAGCCAAACCACTGAGCGATTTAAGGAAGAAGTCACCCATTTTCAGGCACTTTTCAACATTTAAAAACTTAAATCCAGTTATTTTAAATCTATTGGACAAACACTCCCCACTCCCCACAAAAAAGTAAGCTAATTCTTTCATAGTATTTCTGTGAGAAGACATACTCCTTCAATTTGCCAAGGAAACAGCATTAATGCTTTCTTCCACCTTTTCTTCAAGTTCCAGAGCTCTGCTTCTGATAGTGCAGCACTTCAGGTTATGTGAAATCAGCCCCTGTTTAAAGATTCTTTGTGGGTCCAAGCTTGGAGAGTGTATTAATGTGGGGGAGTACATTGCCATGACTGACATTCTTGATACAAAAATTCAGTTTCAGTTGAGTCCCTGTGATCCCCCGAGCAGTTGTTAATGCCCTGTACTATAATGAGGCAGTGTAAGACAAAGAAAAGTATTCAAATCTATGTCCATTTATATTTATATTAGTACAAAACACAGTGCTAGAAGAAGATACTGATTTTTTTTTTCTGAAGTATTTATAGTTTCAAAGGAAAATAAAGACACTATTGAGAAATCTCTAATGAGTGATTAAAAATAGTTTGGGGTAGGTTGCCATTCAAAAGTCTTCCCAGAGTTCTCATCTATGTTCTATAGAAACTGTAAATAAAAATGTACACAACCAACAGATGTGTTATACATACATCAGATATCAATATGTACTTGTGAATTAAAGTTCCTTAATATACACATCCCCACTTAGAATACAACCCCTTACATAGGCAAAGCGTCATTCTGTAATAACAGGTCAGGGATAGCAGCAATATAATAGTCTAGTTATCCAGTGACCTCGGAAAATATCCTAGGTCCTGATGTGGTACTTTGAGCTTCAGAAAGAGCCATCCACTAATATTTAATATGGTTCTCATGAAGTACCAGGCTACTTTGCTAATGGTAATTATAATAAAAGGTACTGTCTTTTCAAAACTCGTTTATTCAAAATCTGACCGATGGTACAACAGGAAAAATAAGCCACCATGAGGTGATACAAAGTGTTAAAGATACAGAAACTATGGACATTTTGTTTCTCAGATATTTGTTGCTGTTGTATCAGTGCCCTGTTCATACAAAAGGTACTCAGATCGAACAGAGGCTGAAAGAGCAAAACTTTGCTGGGAATAGGCCTGCACTGAACTGTGTTTGAAAATACACAAACAATTTGAATATCAATCTGTGTTTTACAAACTGACATGGCACATCATACTGAGTACTGCTTTAAGAGTTATGAGTCGAAACCTTTGGGTAACTTAATGCACTTGTAACCAAAATTTACATATATAATATGCAAAAAAAATTAAGTTGATTTATAATAAACCATATTAGTCCCAGAAGACAGAATGGGTTTCAAGTAAACACGTTATTTTGTGTGTACTACTGGAGATATCCATTCATGCCCAATGGATTCAAACTTTAGTTAAGCGGCAAGTTACATAGATTCTGGATATATCTATGACTTTAATATTCACTCTTGGTGTGTACTTGTAGGTCTAATTCTAAATCTGTTGGGCACATGAACAGAGAGCTCAAGAAAGGTCCCTGATACCTATGATGACAATTCTGAATCTCTGCCACTTTACCCAAACTTCATATTAAACAATCCTGCAGACCACCGCTACTGGCTGGAGGCAAAGTTGACCACTCAGGGGAGAGATGCTAAATTAGACCAGACGGTTTCACCTGCTGCAGTCCTTTTCCTGGGAAGGGCCAACTCCCTTGGCATAGTAGTCTCTCTGGCTTAGAGCTGAGATCACAGAGGAGAAACCTATTGTGTTTCTGCCAACTTACTGGCGAAATCAGCACACCCAGTAGCTGGCAGAACTACCATATCAACTCCCAAGATAAGCGGCCCTCTTATAATTCTTATAAGAATAACAATTCTTACAAGAATTTCCCCTTAAACAGTCTTATTCTTCCCCTCCTACAGGAGGTTTTCCTCATGCTTCTTGTGATGGTCAAATCAACCCAGGACAGACTCTGGCTTCTCAGTGAGAGTGTGTGTCGTCATGGTTGGCAGCGCATTTATTACACCGAGTGTTTGTCCAGGCTCCACGGATTTGGCTGGAAGTTGAACAGTCCACTGGGGAAGCCTTTGAATGATAACATGATGATGCGTTAGTTTCTCCTCGTCAACCCAGAGCTTCTCAACACACTCCACCGTCTGGACTGCTGAACCCAGGTTCTCTCCACACAGGAATACACGCATAAGCGCTTGGCCTTTATGGATGCCAAAGGTGGGCAGGTGAGTTCAAAGTCTGGACACAGAGGCACTTCCAAAGTTTGGCAGGGAGGAGGAGGTGAGTTCATTAAGTGGGGCTTTATCACTGCAGTCTTGTATCACCCAGACACCTGCGGCACATGGACACGAACTGAGATCTTTAGGTTGTGGATGGGTCGTGCTTTTTCTTCTTGCCCCGGCAGGACTTGCAGACACAGCAGATGATGCACGGGGAAGCCAGAAGCAGCAAGGGTGAGGTCACCAAGGCAATGATGCCCAACCCCACGAGAATCCCGACCACCTGGAAACGTAGAAGAAACGCCTATTTCAGCACTTCAGTCTTTCTATGTATATACTCCACCATCAGCTGTGGACTATTTCTGCTCCCTGCCAAAATTTCATAGATTGAAACTCTAATCCCTAAGAGGAGGACGATGTGTGGAAAGGGGAACCTTGGTAAGTAATTAGGACATCAGGGTGGAGTCCTCATGATGGGATTAGCGCCCTTATAAGAAGACACACAAGAGAGCTGGTTTGTCCTCTACTCTCTGCCATGTGAGGACACAGCGAGAAGACTGCCATCTATAAGCCACAAAGTGTCCTCATCAGAACCCAACAACACTGGCACCTGAATCTCAGACTTTCAGTCGTCAGAACCACGAGAAATAAATTTGTGGTTTGAGTCTTCCATTCTATGGTCATTTGTTACAGAGGTTTGAACTGAGACACCATCTCAGGCACATGAAGCAGTTACAATTATGAGACCTTCCATCCAGTGCCCAGCAATGGTCTGAACTGGATATAAACCATGGAGACACCAAGGACAAACCAAATGCTAACTCAGGCTCTGGCACAAGCACAGTGGGATCACAAACTGTTGGTGTTGGCTGCCTCTCTACGTGTTTCCTCAACAGTCTCAGAGGAAATGTTAACATCCTCAGAGGGATGTTAATAATGGTTACTAGACTATGAACACCAACTCCCTCAAAAGGAACATGAAAAACTCTTAAAAATAAATCAGGACTCCCTTTGAACCTACCACGTAAACACACAACAGTATGTACAGAGGCTTCCAAGCCCCACACAGCTCATGGGATTTTAAGACCTCTGCCTTTCATCGCAAACATGTCTCAAAGGGCTCTAGGGAATTCATTCTACCAGTTTTTAAAGGAGGAACGAGCATTTGCCTTTGCCTTCATTCTGCTGGGGTTTTTTCCATGAGGTATTACAAAAACACCTGAATGAACTTTTGGGCCAACCTGATTCTTATCTGCTGTCACCCTGACTCTCCACTTCTCCTCTAGGAGACTGGGCTCATGGAGTAACTTCACACCCAGAAGTTCCCCAGAACCTCTAAGGCTGGGATGAGTAAGAAGGGAATAGAGCGGGGAAACTGAGTAGGTGGGCTTTTCAACCCATTCAAAGTCTGGCTTCTCTTATGCTCCTTTTAAGGTCAGGGTACCTGTGTTCGGTTCCACATCACTGAGGCTCTTGAGTGGCCAAGCTTATTTCTACATGGCCCTTTGTCATAGTGTCTGAGGAAAATGTCATTCTGAAAAAAACAAAGAGAAAGGTTTTGGTAAACACACAGTTTTTGAATAGAGAGATGGGTACTAAACCTATCAAATCACCTCAGTGGATAAAATTAATGATGGCCTCTAAGAACTCCCGAGTGACAATTCTTAGATGATACTCGGTAGTTTTATAAATCATTGCGTGAAAACAGATTATAGTCTCTGAGACTCTTTATTGATTCTAAAGAAGATTAATGACCTGACTGATTATCTTTGAAAGGTAACTCTAGTAGAAGTGCAGTATGGAATGAAAGGACCTTGAATGAGACAGTGAAAAGGCTCTGTCGTAAACCAGCTTAGATAACATGCCAATGGCTGAGACAGACGAGAGGTAAATAGTCATGCAGAATTATGTAGGTAACTCACAGGATGGGGAAACAGGGAGAAGAAACCCCAGATGAGGGGGAAGCACTGGATAGGAGGCAGTGACTTTGTTGAAGTGATAACATAGGAAGATGACGGCCACAGTTTGGATGTGTTGAACTTGAGGCATGCAAGCAGTACTGTTCAAAAGGCAGCTGATTACACAGATCTGGATTCTGTGGAGAAGACATGGGAAGCAGTGTCCTTGGGCCAAGAATCCACAGAAGTAGATGAGATTATCCAGGGAGAGGCTATTGAACACACATATTTAAGAGCAGGTGAAGGGGAATTCCTGTCTCCCTGATGACTTCAGCTAAAATACTGATCTTCTCCTGCCCTCGGCACTTCTGTTTCTCAGGCATTCAGACTTGAACTGGAATATACAATATTGTTCTCTTGCTCTCTGAGCTTTGAAGGACACCACTGGTTTTCCTGGGTCAACCAGCTCACAGACAGCTGCTCATGGGACTTCTCAGCCTCCATTACCATGTGAACAAATACCTTATGCTAAATCCCAAGAATCAATTTATCTATCTACCCACCTATCTATTCTATTGGTTCTGTCTCTCTGGATAACTTTGACTAATAAAGTGACTATTCTACATGAATTTGGGAGAAAACAAAAGAGTAGACCAAGGAAGAACCTGGAAAGGAAATTGAGCAGTGGCCAGAAATGAAGAAAGGAAATCAGAGGAGATGGTCTCACTGGAACAGAGGTGATCAAGATGTCAAAGGCAATGGAGAATCCAGGCGAGGTGAAGACTAAAGTATCCATAGGATTTCACCCAAAAGGAATCTCTCAAAGCCTTGAGAGAACACAGTCAGGGTGGTGACCAGGAGGCTATCTGAGTCACTGCAATGACTGGAGTGTCAACAGCTAGAGGTGATTATGCTCTTTTGAGGCTTAGCTTCTAAAGGAAGGAGAGAAACACAATGGCAGCAAGGGAAAGATGCAGGTTTGAGAAAAGTGTTACTTGTTTTTAAATGGGACATAACTGAAGCCGTGGGTAGGTTACAGAAGGGAATGGAAGCTGAAAGTCATAGGAGAGAGAAGATAGAACCGAAGGGGATAAGTCTCTGAGGATCCCAAAGCAGAGGATGAAGACTATCTCATCCTCTGAAACAGTGGAGATGAGAATCAAGGCGGGAACAAACCCAACTCCCCACAGAAAAACTCAAAATCCCTCTTTCTGGTGTCGGTCTCAGGCTTGGCTTGTGGACAAACCCCCTTCCCCTAGACAGACGCTCTAAAACTTCCCTATAAACAAAGACCAACACCATCATCTGACATGGAACACTTGTCTACAGAAAAACATCGTGACCCACAAGCCAATGGTTCCTGGCTAAAAGCCAAGAAAAGGAGACCTCAAAACACAATGACCAGAAAAAGATGCTGTGTATCTAGCAATCTTACACCTGTACCATTTCACCTCACGTACCAGAACAGTACAAGTGACAGAACACTGTGTTCTTTGCAACACCATTACCAAAACACATTTCAGCCAAAGGATGGAGCGATCTGGCACAAATATTTATTCCCCTAGGCTCTTGCCTCCTAAAGAGAACCTCATGGGCTCAACCTCCTCATGGATATGAATCCTATTAATATGCTGGTTAAACCTGAAGGGAGAAAAAGGGATTTGTTTCATTTGTAAAGCATGAGGGGTACACAATCATGAGTCATACCCTCATCCAGAGTATCACTCATGTGGAATTAGGAGAGGTCTCAAATATCAAACATCATTGTAACTCAAACTTAACTGTAATTCAAGGGGTTATAACAAATCACATTTTTTTAATAGAATGAAAACCTGTCTGTCAACCTGAGTCGTGAAGATTCCAGAGTCTAAAAGGTCAAATTTCTCCTCCCCAATGCATATGCCTTCCTGAAACCCTGACATCAAGCTGATTAAGATTCTTACTCACAGACATCGGCCTAAATAACTTATCTTGTTTTCAGTTAAAAACCAGGCACGTGGTGGCCAGCATGCAGGCCATGGTAACCGCACTCACTGAGTATGCACAATACTAAAGACCGACACAAATCGAATTGAAGCAAACAAAGCAATTAAAGAGCTTCCCTTGAGGCTCAGCTGTAAAGAAGCCGCCTGCGATGCGAGAGACCTGGGTTCGATCCCAAGGTTGGGAAGATCCCCTGGAGAAGGGAAAGGCTACCCACTCCAGTATTCTGGCCTGGAGAATTCCATGGACTGTATAGTCCATGGGGCACAAAGAGAGACACAACTGAGTGACTTTCACTTTCACAACAAAAAATTTCGAAAAGAATAGCCACCCATCCAACTGTGATGAGGGCTTACACTGATATGAACATATTTTAAAGGTCCAAATTGCCAAAATAGGGAATAATTATAAACAAACTGCCAAAATAGGGAATATCTAAAGGGACTATGTCACTGTAAACTGTAAAACACTAGAATTGAAAACAACAGGATTCTCACCAATTCTTCACATTACCTTTTAACCCTGAGGTTATCATTAGCCTCAGCACTGGACTGAACGCAACTGCACCTGAACTTGAGAAGACAAACTTCATGAACAGTGGGGGGAGAAGAATAATTAGACCAGATCCCTTATGTGGGAAGGTAACCCTGACAGAGTGGTAACAATCTTGTTGTCACGCTAATGAATGAGATAGTAATTAAGAGACACCACTGATCTGAATGGCTTTTCTCCTTAATTCCAAGAAGAAAAAAAGCAATCTAATTGTGATAGGCAGAATAACTGCTCCCCTAAAGATGTGCTGTGCTGTGCCGAGTTGCTCAGTTCATGTTCTTTGCAACCCCATGGACTGTAGCCCACCAGGCTCTTCTGGTCATGGAGTTTTCCAGGCAAGAACACTGGAGTGGGTTGCCATTTTCCACTCAGGGGATCTCCCCTAAAGATGCCAATGGCCTATTCCGCAAAACGTGTGAATGTGTTACCTTACATGGCGAAGGGATTTTGCCAGTGTGATTAAAGACCTTGAGACGGGGGCGGAGGTGGGGGGAGGAGGTGGGGAGATTAGCCCTTGTTATCCAGAAGGGCACAATCTAATTACATGGGTCCTTAAAGGCAGAGACGTTTTCCCAGCTGTTGTCAGAGGGAATGACTCTGGAAGCTAAGACCTTGGAAGAAGGCTCAGAAAGATGTGATGCTGTTGCCTTGAAAGATTGAAAAAGGGGCCATAGTCAAGGAATGTAGGTAGCCTCTAGAAACTAAAACAGGCAAAGAAATAGATCCTCTTTACGAGTCATCAGGTCCCAAGGACAACTTGATTTTAATCCAGGGAGACCCATGTCAGACGACCAATGGACAGAACTAATGATAACACATCTGTGTTGCTTTAGGCCACAAGTCTGTGGTAACTGGTTACAAGAGCAAAATCAAACTACCACACTAATAGTCCTTTATACAACAGAATGAGACAATGCTCCCAAAGCTGGAAATGTCCCTAAAACAAAAGGTAGGACGACATACTTAAAGTAATCAGAGAGAAGTATGTGAAGTAGCAGGCTCAGGATGTCTCATTAAGGAAAAATAAATTTCTTTGGCAGAGAAAAAAAATACAAAACAGGTTCAATATTTTAAAAGGAAAGTCCATCAGATACGGGCTGTTGCATAGATACAGGATAGAGGAGGATACGTGGGGAGACTCTTCTGGGCTGCACTTACGTCCAGGTTCTGAAGGCAGTACCAGCAAAATGTGTGTTTGCAGTTCTTACACATCATCTGAGCACAGCCTTCGTTGCGCTCAATATAAACCCGGCACACGGGGCACTGCTTAATGGGGGCTTCTGCCTCCGTCCCAAAGAGCGTCCTAGAAAAGAAATGAATGAGAAATTATAGGGTAAGGATCAAGAATGCTGAGTGATTTTTTTTTTTAATTTAAGGACCACAAGGTTTACACCACCAACCAGAGCTATGGGTAAAGTGGGCTGAATATAATTAAACAGCTGAATGATGCTCTTCTAGACTCAATGCTGTGGTCACCCACTGAATTCTCAGGGCTCCTGACAGGTAGGGAGTGAACCTGTTGCTGTCTGTACTTAACTTCTTGTCCCAGGAACAGGGTGGGGGTAAAAACAGGTGCAATGCAGATTATTCCTTGTTCAGATAACTCAAAACAAAGAAGCTTAATTTATTTATCTTTAGCTTTGAGTGAATTACATAATTATATTTTCCATAGCTGATTGAATCCATTGTTTTGCCAAATTAGTCTTTCATTCTCTGAGCACACACTGTCTGACTAAAAAGTACAAGAAGTCTGCCACGCAGTGGAAAAACCAGCTCAGGATCCAAAAGGGGCAGAGACCATCTATACAATGATCTGTGCAAATAAACAGATGGGGATGGGAGGGAATCAATCATCAATACTTTCAAATAAATGTCCAATATCATTGAAAAGACCTGATTCAGATAGACGAACAGGCCAGCAAAGCTTACAGGCTCCAGGGACAGAGAAAATAAGTAGAACTAGTGAAGGGAGGCCTGGGTGAGCCAGGCCTAGATTGCATTTTAGCTACTATTCATCAAAACCACCACTCAGCACATGAAGATATCAGGTTCACAAAGTGTGGTCAAACCTATGATTGGATTCCGTGTTCATAATAACCCTATAAAGCAATGGGACAGCCACCGTTTTCATTCTTCCCATTTTCTTTTTTTTAATAGAGCAACAGACTCAATCCCTGGGTTGGGAAGACGCCCTGGAGAAGGGAACGGCTACCCACTCCAGTCTTCTGGCCTGGAGAATTCCATGGAGTGTAGAGTCCACGGGGTCTCAAAGAGTCGGACACGACTGAGTGACTTTCACTTTTTCACTTTCACACTCATAGAGGCTGAGTGACTTGCATAAAGTCACAAAGATAACCAGTGGCAATGTCAGGGCTCTGTCTCTCCTCTGGGATCTTCACATTGCCCTATGATTCCTGGAGACCTTGCTGGGTGGCAGTGAAAATGTAGCAGGTACTGGCTAAGTGGGCACACGCCTGCCACGTGTGCTAGCTCTTTTCCTTCTCTTGATGTGTTTGGTCTGAGACTCAAGCACAGCATCACATCAAGTAGCATTTCTGTTCCTGGAGAATGGCCCTCCATACTTGAAGGATGCTGAGTGATGAAGCCAACTGGACAACACTGTTATTTCTGTTCTTGCTGATGCAAAACAGCCGCAGCCTCCAGCAAAGCAAGGGATCAAACACAAAGTTCTCTCACTCTGGGCCCTGCCGCTGCCATAAATACCCTCTGTCCTGCAAGGTACAGAGTGAATTGCTTGTCATCATAGCAAATTCTCAACCTCATTATTGTTTTTTTCCAGAGCATAAAATATTGAAAGATAAGCTCTTTTCCTCTAGTAAGCATGAATTTTAGCAGCATACTACCCTGAAGGGCTGTTGTTTCTATTGCTGTTTCTTTTAATATGACTGGCACACCCCCATGAGCTGGCAATTGATTCAGCTAAGAAAATCATTTCTGTACCTCTTCACAAGCAAGAATGAGGTGTATCAATTGTAGGCAGTCATGGTACCTAAGCAAACGGCTGTGGACAAAAGCTATGACTTCCTACATACAGAGAACAGGGGACCGCAGCCTCCTACCTAAAGAGAAATCAAAACTCATAGAGACTAACTCCAGCTGTACCTGGAAGGTTGTTCGGGGGTAATTAACTAAAATGCCTTTAGACCTGCTGATCTGGTGATTCTTAGTGAATAACGTACCCATTCTGAGACACTTCTCGGGAAAGCCTTGCAGGTAAAGAACTCACCTAGACGTTTCATCACAATATGACTCTCTCTCCAAGCCACAGATTTCTAAGAACACAGGTGAATGATCCCAAAGGTTCAGTTTCCCTCCTTACCCACGCTCTGTTGGCAGGACGCCGGACTGACTGTCCCTGCAGGAGACTTCTGCATGCCAGGCATCCTTGCAGCATGAGCAGAATTTCAGGTGGCAGGACGGGCACTCCACCAGGACAGGCTGCCCTGGGCCACTTGCTGCGACGGGGCATGCTGTCTGACAGTCTGCGGCGGGGCACCACGTCCTGCAGGGGTCCAGGTGGACTTCTAAAGAGTGAAGAAAGAAAACGTGATTGTCTATCTGTCTTCCATTCAAGCCTGAGCTTTCCTTTCTGCCTTCCGTTTATTCTTTTTTATAGGTCAACATTCACAGATGCTCAGCACAAACAAGGGCGATGATTTCTACCAGTGGTCTTCACAGTGGATCCAGTCCCATTCTGTATCACAGGTCATTTAAAAGTGTGATGATAAAGGAGGGAAAGGAAGGGGAAATTAAGACATATTAAAGTGTGGAGGAGGAAATGGCAACCCACTCCAGTATTCTTGCCTGAAAAAATCCCATGGACAGAGAAACCTGGCAGGCTACAGTCCATGGGGTCGCCAAGAGTCAGACATGACTGAGTGACTAAGCACCATATTTAAAGTTTAGAGTGAACCCAGACCTGTGCAGTGGATCCAGGTCACCCAGCCCTGCCCTACTTCTCAAAGTAGGTGCTCATGGAATAGGTCATCACTGCCCTTATGAGGAAGAGAAGGAGCCTTCTCGCTAATCAAAACGCACAACTGTTTTGGAATATTTCTAACAGTTCAGCACTCTAACCAGACAAATATCTCAAGTCTCTTCTTCAATTATTTTGCGTACTCTCTTGGAGAAAAATAAGGACGTGAAGAATCAACCAAAGCAAAAGAAAAAAGTTCATAAAAGATTTTGTCCTTTCAGGCACTGAGAGATATGTAGTGAGGCTTCTTCTGTTGTTCAGAGAGAAATTAAAGAAGAACCAAACAGTGTAGGGATGAAACAGTGTCTAGTGTGGCTCAGCCAAGAACTCAGATTAGCTGTCAATTTGAATATTCTGCTGCCCTAGCAATGTGCTACTGAGGGACAGTTTGTAAAAGACCCACACATTCTAGAAACAGAAGGTAGGGACCTTCACAGGCCATAAAATGATTATCACACACTACATTGGCTAGACCCATGTGGCATGCTGAAAAGAAAGTAAGGTTTGTGGGTGGACAACTGTCTTCCTGTGTGAGTGTTTACAAATCTTGTTCCACCTCCCATTTTCTAGTCAATAACAGAGTCCATATTCTTGTCATATGACATAAACTTTTGGTGGAAAATATCACATGGAAAACAATGTAAGAAGCAGAGGAGCCCATTTTTCTCTGAACTAATGTATTTTGCAAATTTTGAACTGGTGAGCTTCTAGGTTCAAATCACTTAAGGCTTGTGATTCTTGGAATGTCCAGGTGGAACACAAACAAATCCAAAGAGTGGTGCAAAAATGAAATGCAGGTATTAAGTAGGAGCTTAACGTTAAAGGTAATAATCTTACAATTTCAGTATGGAGGGAAAAAGACTGAAATCCTCTAGGAAACACTGTCTCCAATAATATTTCCTCCAGAAAACACAACAATTGGAACTATGCTTATTACAGGTTTTCATTCAAAAAGAACATCCTTAAACATATCTTCTTATCCAATAATTCTGGAGGGCAGGAGTTAAAAGAATGATGGGTCAGGTGAAATCAGAAAAAAGAACCCTAAGATTAACACATCCTCAGACTCTAAGAGGGATGAACCCCTCTAAGATCCCTAAAATTTTGGGACAGGCTGATTAGAAAGTCAAGGGGACAGTGATACACATATGGGTCCAAGATCTTGACCTTTGATTTCCACACCATTTATATTTTCTTTCCCCAAACTCTTTACTACTTCACAAACACAAAGCCCAAAGAAATGAAGTCTGATATGTAACTTAGCACTAAGGATTCCCACATTAAATATCTACTTATCATTCTAAATCACAGGTCTTTCAAAAATTTGATGACAAAGGAGGGAAAGGAAAGGAAAATTAAGACATATTATAAAGTTACTGGGCTTCCCTGGTGGCTCAGACGGTAAAGAATCTGCCTGCATTGCAGGATACCGAGGTTAGATCCCTGGGTTGGGAAGATCCCCTGGAGAGAAAACAGCTACCCACTTCAGCATTCTTGCCTGGAGAATTCCATGGACAGAGGAGCCTGGTGAGCTACAGTCCATGGGTTACAAAGAGTCGAACACAACTGAACGACTAATGCTTTCACTTTCATAAAGTTTAGAGCATCCCTATTGATCACCTTAAAAGGTTCAACTGGGCAATTTGTCTTCCAAACTCTAATCAACTAAAATTATTTGGCAGATGTTCTGACTTGTTTCTACCAACTTCTTATGTCAGGTATCTGGGTGACACGACAGAAGCAGAAACAATAAATAGAGAAGCAATTAAACATTTTCACGAACTCCTATTAACAAAAAGGCCTCAGTATACAGTGCAGCTACAACACAGTCCAGCACAAAAAACAAGAGACGGTACTTCCCCGGTGGTCCAGTGGTTAAGACTTCACCTTCCAATGCAAGGGGTGTGGGTTTGATCCCTAATGGGGGAGCTAAGTTCCCACATGCCCTGCGGCCAAAAAAACCCAAACATTAAACTTAGAAACAGTATTGTAACAAATTCAATAAAAAGACTTTAAAAATGTCCACATCAAAAAAAAAAAAAAAAATCTCTACAGAAAGAAGCAAGGGAAGAGTCGGAGCCACAGAAAACAGCAATCACCATGATGGTACATAACTGACAATGTTAAGGCTCTATATTGTTCAGCCCCGCACTGAGCTATTTCCAGAGAAAAGACACAACTCTCCAGAGAGAGACACTTGTCCAGGGCATCTTTGAGTCTCCTGGAGAAGAGCATCCCACAGTGGGACGGGGATCTGCACACACAAGTCTGGGCAGGTTACACTGAGAAGGTACTGGAGCGTAGCATGGCACCCGTCCTTCAGACGGTCCTTCAGCCGGGCTCCCACAGAGCAGCAACGATAGATAAAAGTCAGTAGAAGCTAAAAAAGTTGCTTTGCTTTTTTAAGACAATTATTATAATTCCAATACGAGCTTCATTTTGCTTCACATACCTTGTGATTCAAGTAGGCCCGAGAAGCCAGGCTAGTAGAAAAGAGAAAAACGCTGAAGAAGCATCAGACATTGGCAGCCCTGGCAGCTAACAGGACTTCCCAGAAACCAAGCCAAAAAGGAATAGATTAATGGACGGCAGGTGGTGGCCAAAGCACTGTCACATGAGCAAACGCTGTCTTCTCCTCCCTTTCTCCTCCACACCAATTATCTGAGGGGAGTCTGAAGGGAAGGAGAGCACCCAGTGCTAATGCAGGACTTTCTAAAACACTTTTTATTACAACTACTATGAATTCAGTTCTACCTCCTGGCTTTTGGCTCAGGAAACACAGTTATTATGTAGATAAAATGCACATTATCCAAAACTTTTAAGGTTCAGTTTCTTCCTCCTTCCAATTTCTATTCCAAAGATAGAAAAAAAAAGGAACTGATGCATATTCAACTAATTTCTTCTGTATCAGCAGTAATGAAAGCTTTCTGTAGCTTTGAGATGAGCCAAAGCTCAGAAATCTAGAAAAGGAGAATAGTGCCTCCAACACGTTAATATGGACATGATTTAAAAGTGATTTAAAAGTAGCAGACTCACAGCAGAGATAGACGAAGTCATAGACGAACTGGAATTCACTTATGAAAATTAGAATTGATTACTGAAGTAAAGCCTCAGGACTATTTGATCTTCAGATTCTGCTTGTTCATGTAAATTATGCAAGGCAGGAAATGCTATTTAAAACTATTTTGTACTTGTGTACTCTGACAATTATTAGGACATAAAAACATTCCAAGAAAATAAAACTGCCATGAAACCTAAAGACCACGTCTGAGCCCAGTAATTTTTAGTTTTCAAAAACTAAATTTCAGACCCTTGAATTTCCCACCTAGAACTAGATATGTGAAGCTTGCTTTTTATTTGGTTATATATCCTCTCAGCTGACACGAGTGGTTTTTCTGCCGTCTTCTGCTACCATGAGGCTGTGCCAAAAAAGACATGGTATGAAATTTTATTATTGTGGGAAACACTATGCACTCAAGCTAATTTAATTATGAGCTGAGATAAATCAAACTGTTTTAACTTTTATGACCTACTGCATTTTTAATTATGCCAAAATTAATTTGCTTTCTGCTATCTCAAAGAACAAAGGTCTGCAGATAGTTAAAATGCAATTAAACTAAACTGATTGGAATTAACATCTGCCACAGTAAATATGCCCAAACAGAGGTGGCCAACAGCAGAAGAGCTGCTCTCAAGACAGCTGATGAGAACAACAGAATTTCAAACTTGGAAACAACTTTTGAGGTTATCTAGTCTAAAGCTGTTAAGTTGAGACCAACAGAAATTAGAAGTTTGCATAACACATGGTTAGTGAGTATATGATAGGATCAGGCCTTTTTTACTCCAAGAATGTAATTATTTATATACAAACAAACTCATGCTGTTAAATAGATTTTAATCCCTCCATGACTTTTATCTTTGAAGCAACAACCTCAAATGCTCCATCTCAGCAAGTCATGATCTCCTTGGACGTGCATTCATGCTTTCAGTAAGAATATACTGTGTGAAGGAAACTGCTATGATAGGTGGGGTAAGGAATTTGCCTTGATTATCAAGCTTCTATACAATGCTATAGAAACTAGGACAAATAAGGGTGGAAACACACTGAAAAAGATTTGAATTAAGATGAAAACACAGTGATATAATTGTGTATTCAATCCAAGGTATGATCTGGATTCTGGAAGATGCTTTCTTAGTTTAGTTCAGAAAAAACTGGGGACAAGATTTGGAGGTGGCAGTAACAGTAATGAATAACAACAAAAAAGACAGCAATAATATATTGAAACCACACTGTGACATACACAGTGTTAACTCATGTATTCCCTGCAGCAGCCCTGAGACAATCATTCTATTATTATCCTCATATTATAGATGTGGAAATGGACAGACAGATAGGACGAGGCAAATACTAATGAACACTGTGCCTCTTATTCCGGTCCCTTTAGAAAGTTCACCCAACCTACTCATAAATTTCATTTCTTACACACACTTCAGCTTTTCAGAGGAGAGCTGAAAACATCTAGAGACTGTTTCACGTTTAAAACTAAT